ATGCTAAGTTTTTCTAATAACAATAGGAACACTTTTTGTCTTTATGAGGACCTCCAAAATAATCCCTTTTCCATAATTATAGTGCTTGATGTACCTTTTCTTCAAGTTTATGTCAACTTGGGAGGCTCAGATCTTAAAGGCCACACAGGGCACGCGGGAGGATCGGCGGGCGGCCGCCCAAACTTTCACCGCTGGGGAGGGGGCACTCGGTCCCGGACGTGGAACTTCCGCCGGTCCCCGTGCGGTACCTGTGCAGGCAGCGGGTGGCTGCCGCTTTGGGAAGTTAGACATCTCCCTCTTTCGGTCAGCTTCTTCGTGACGCTGGAATCCCGCCGAGGAGGTCTTCGCTTAGGTCCCGTGTGCCTTGCCCAGGCGCTTCGTCAACGCTCAGCGGGTGTACAGCGGGGAGGCTCCGTAGGCAGGCAGGGCATCCTGTTTATTTTATTGGCGCCCCACACCGGGGCACAACTCCAAATCAGGTGGTAACCTTGGACAGTTCCCTTCCGCAGCCCTCCGTTGGGAAAGAGGGCTGGGGGCGGGGCTGAGCAGGTGTGGGTGACAGTCGCCACGCTTCTGCCCGTCCCGTCTCAGGACGCAGCTCGGAGGTGCACTGGGCCGGCTGTTTCCTGGAGCTCCCGATCCGTGGCCTCGGCGCTCTCACCTGCAGTCTGAACCTTTCAGAGCCCCGGGGTGCGAGTAATAAATCTTTGGCTTCTCCAGAGAGTCAGAGATTTTATTTTTCAGAAGGCTGAGGTGGCGTCAATTCTGTACGACTGACAAGGCAGGCGAAGTGTCCCATTTGTCTTTGATTCCTGGGGTATTGCTCACCTGGCTAAATTTGAAGGAGCCTCAGTAACTATGAAGCGATCGCATTTTATTTTTCAAAAATACTTACAAAGTTTTCGGGATGTGGGATTTCTTTAGCAGCTCATTTCCTAGCCTTAAATGATAACACCTCTTAAACTCCTTGTTCTGCCTCGTCCCGTGCAATGTTCGTTTGCACCTAGTTGAAGTGTTCTTTTGTAAGCTTGATTACAGAAACGATTTTTATTTCTGATTTGGGGATCCAGTGGTATCAAAGGAATGCCCTTGAATTTGCCAAGCAAGATTGACTATTTCAAGAATATTTCCAGATATATAGGGCGGGAAGAATTGAAAAAACAAATGAAGACTGATACACAATTTCCATTAGTTTATTAGCGCTGTTTATAGAACAGGGCGAGGGCTATTTCTGAGATGGCTGCTTGTTCTCACTGGTACAGGCCCTTTGTGGATGGACACCAGAAAGAGCAGAGCCTGTGGGGACTGTCACCTCTGGCAAAAGAAGGGCTCCTTCCACCTTTAAAAGACTCCTGTCAGCCTTGTAAACACGGGCAGAGTGCCAGGGTCACACGTGCCAAGGAAGCCGTCTGCCACAGGTTGCAGAATCAGAAAGCAAAACTAACTGCTGGACTCTTGAGTTTCATTATTACTTTCTTTTTAAAAATTAATTTCTTAGGGCCAGGGATTTAGTTCAGTGGTGCCACGCCTACCTTGCAAGTGTAAGGTCCTGAGTCCGATACCTAATCCTGGGGAAAAAAATTAATTTCTTAAGTAAATGATTTTAAAATAAACACAGGCTATCCAGAGACTTTCTTTGTAGCTGATACTTTTTCAGCCACATCTGTGGAACCTTTGGGCAGGGGTCATGACATGAGAATTCAGAACATCAGTGAGATGCTAGAGGAACCAACTCCCAGATCTCAGACATAAAACTGCTTCATTCTCAGTCTTCATGGGAGATCATGAACTGAGTTTAGCCTGTACCCAGCGATTCAGTCTTTTAATCCATTACACAGAGTGAGTTCTGTTTAATTTTCTGTATTTTGTGCCTTTAACATAGAGACTGGAAGTCTGCTGTTACAGCCAAAGTGCCTCAGGGTGTTTATAGCAGAAGCAGTTGAAGGCCTGGGAATCACGAGTGCAGAGTAAACTGAGCACCTCTGTGGAAATCAAGGAGGGTGTTTTAGGAGTCTGTTAGGCACTGTAATCTCTTGCACACAGAAACTGTCAGTAAGGAGTCAGAAGCATAATCTGTATTATAATGATAGGACTTAATTTGTATTTTTGTTTTTTTTTTTTGTTTTGTTTTGTTTTTTGAGACAGGGTCTCACTATGTAGTTGAGACTGACCTGGAACTCACTATGTAGCCCAGGCTGGGTTCGAACTCATGATCCTCCTGCCTCAGCCTCCCTAGTGCTGGGATTACAGGTGTGCGCCACCACCCCTGGCAGGACTTAATTTGAATACGCTGTTTTTCTATTTTGAGTTTTCATATATGGAATTAGTGTGCTGGTTTTCTTTTCTTTTTTTTTTTTTTCCCTTTCATTGCAAAGAATCAAACTCGGGGCCTCCCCAGGCAGGTGCTGTGCCATTGTGTTACATCCCTCACCCTAGTGTGCTATTTTGGTGATACCTCAAAGATATTTTTGGAGGGTCCAGGGATTTAGCTCAGTGACACCTCACCTGCCTTGCAAGCACAAGGTCCTGAGTTTGATCCCTGATATAAAAAAAAAAACAAAAACAAAAAAACAGAAATCTTGGGGCTGGGCATGGTGGCACATGCCTATAATCCTCGCACTCAGGGGACAGAGGCAGAAGGATTGCCTGAGTTGAGGCCAGCCTGAACTGCATAGTGAGACCTTGTTTTTATTTTATTTATTTATTTTTGGAGATAGGGTCTTGCTTTGTAGTTCAGACTGCCATACCTGGCCAAGATTTTTATATTTTAAAAAAAGGTCTTTCTGGCCAGGGATTTAGCTCAGTGGTGTTGCCACCAGCCTCACAAGTGCAAGATCATGAATTCGATCCTGGTACCAAAAAAAAAAAGTGGTTTTTTTTTGGTACTGGGGATTGAACTTGGGCCCTTGCACTGAAGGCAGTGGAACCACTGAACCAAATCCCGCCCCCCAATAAAAACTCTTTCTGGGCATGGTAGAGTACTCCTGTATTCCCAGTGTTTGGAAGGCTGAGGCCAGAGGATTGTTGGGAGTTTGAGGCCAGCCTGAACTACATAGTGGGTCCCTGTCTCAAAAGAAAAAACCTTAGAGCTGGGAATGTAGCTCAGTGGTAGAGTGCTTGGCTGGCTTTTGAGAAGCTCTGGGTTCCATCCTCAGCATCCAAAACAAAAAGCAAACCATCTAAAAGAAGGTTGAGCTTTATATAGATTTGGACAGTTTCAAATGCTGATCAAGAAGCTGGTCATCTCTCCACCACTGCCCTCTCGGGGCTCCCTGCCACCTGCCTTTGCCTGTGCTGTTCCTCACCCCAGATTTCTCTCCCTCAGGTTCACCTGGCCAGCTCTGCCCTCACTTTCTCCTCAGTTTACTGCTCTTTTTCAACAAGTCCTTTGGTTTCTCCTACATACAGTAAGCTCTGTGAATCTACTGAGTAATTTGTTTTCAAATTAGTGATGTTTGTAAAAAATAAAATTTGGAGGGCCGGTGATTTAGCTCAGTGGTTCTGCACCTGCCTGGCAAGCACGAGGTCCTGAGTTTGAACCTTGGTACAAAAAAAATTTTTTTTTTATAAAGTTCTGAAGAAGGCAGGTATGTAGTGTACATCTGTGATTCCAGGGGATGGAGGCAGGAGGATTGCAATTTTGAGGTTAGCCTCAGCAACTTAATGAGACCCTGTCTCAAAATAAAAATTTTACAGAGGGCTCTAGGGCTGGGCATGGTGGTGCACATTTGTAAACCCAGCATTTGGGAGGCCGAGGCAGGAGGATTGCTGCGACTTTGAGGCCAGCATGGGCTACATAGTAAGATCCTATCTCAAAAAATAAATACAAAGAGCTCTGATGATGTAGCTTACTGGCATAGTGCTTGTCTAGCATGTTCAGGAGCCTGGGTTCAATCCCCAGTGTCACAAAAAATAAAAATAAAGTAATAAAAATGATCTAGAGAGAGGTGCTATTCTTGAATGTTTTAATTTTTTTGTGCTAGTTCTGATTCTTTTAAAATAGACATGATTTGCTTTAATTAAAAAAAGAATTGATGTCATAGCACTGAAAAAGAAAGAAAGAAAGAAAATAAGCTTTGAAAAGTTGGGCCCCTGAGTTTAAGAACTTTTCTGTAGGAAGTTAGCTGCAAGTGCTTCTGGGGGCCTTGCAGGTGGGCAGTTTTGTGCCCGCTTCTTCTCTGTGGCTTTTTGTTTAAAAAAATACAGAGGTGAGAGAAACTACTGAGAATTTTCCAATTTGTTTTTGTCCCAACCATCAGCACTTAAAGCAGTAACAAAATTGTTTACTATGGAGCCGTTACTGGGGTTGCTTTTATTTTGTACGTTAGCAGTCACCTGTTACTGAAATTAGGAGTGGTGCCTTCTTCGGGTGTGGAGCCTCAATTCCGTCACCCCGGGTCCCAAGGAATGTGACTCTGCTATTGTGCTGAGTTCGTGCCACCGCCTGAGTGGAGCAGCATGCAGGGCAGTTCAGGGCCTGGCACGGTGACCTTGCCACGCGAGAGAATGCGTTGCTGCTACCAGGTGTGTTCGTTGACATTTGGCATTTTTGTGTGCTTTGTTTTGTTCTGAGACAGGATCTTGCTGTATATGTAGTCCAGACTGGTATTGAACTCTGTGTAGCTTCCGCTGGCCTCAAACTGGCAATGTCCTCCTGCCTCAGCCTCCTGAGTGCTTGGATTGTAGGTGCGCAGTGTCTTACCCAGTGGCTGTTTGTGTATTTGAGTATACATGTTGCTCCTGAAGATTTCAGACTGGTTTATAATGAAGCCCCTGTCCAGTGCCGGGTCACTGGATTTTTTGTTTGTTTGTTTGTTTTGACAAAGTATCACTATGTATCACTATGACAGAGTATCACTATGTAGTTGAGAACTCACTGTGTAGCCCAGGCTGGTCTCAAACTCACAGCCATCCTCCTGCCTCAGCCTTC